GAGGCTTCACTGGTGGCGGGGTCGATGCCACCGGAGTGTTGATCGCTGCCTGCTGAACTGCTGGAGGCACTGCTGCTGCCGCCGCCGCCGCTGCCGCCTGGGAGTTGAACGATCGGTCGACCACCACGGGGTATGGGCCAGTGTACCCCGGAGGTGGTTCTGGAGGCAAGGGCGGCTGAGGCCCTGGCTGGCCCGGCCGGGCCTGATGGCCCGCTGCCCGACCACTCCCTGAGGACGACGCGCCTCCGGTGGGTGGTCCGCGGTCTGCCTGATCCGCCTCTGCCTGGATCTGGGCCTGCCTCGCCGCCGCCTCCAGGGCGTCGCTCTCGGCCGCCGCCGCCGCTGTCTCCTCCGCCGAGGGCTCGTCCCAGACGTAGCCGTCCGAGTCGGGTTCTCCAGGAGCACGCCCCCCGTTGAGACGAGACTGGCGTGCTCGCAGAAACGCCTGAGTGGCATCCCGCGCTCTGTGGTTTCCCTTGCTCGACGTCCCGAACTCTCCCTTCTTCTTTCCGCCGAGCACAGGATGCGCCGCCAACCGCGCCAGGGGGCAGCCCTCCGAGAACCATCGAGTCTGGCCAGGCGCTGTTGCTGGACCACAAGAAATTCGTGAACTGAGAAAGCTAACACCAAAAAAGGCTAGACTTGAGCCGAGATGGGCTACGGAAAAGACAACTGCCGCCACTATTATCATGGAAACAGTCAGTTCAGTCCATCTTCTTGGGCTCTCGGGAACCCTTCCTCTCGAAGACCTCCTCGGCCCCTGCACCTTAGCTTGTCTACCGGATCCTAAAACCTGGCTCGGGCTCAGCTGAGCCCATGACTGGAGGAGCTCCCTCGATTGGTCGTCCTGGTGCTCGAATTGGATGTCGACCCGATTCCTGGAGTGGACGATCGAACTGGTGCTCTGAGTCCTGGGCCTAGACGTCCTCTGAGTCCTGGTCCTGGCCCTTGAGCTCCCCCTCGTGACCCGCAGCAGCAGCATGAGCAGCAAGACGATGGTGACGATGAGAGAAGCGTAGCCGGTCACCACGCCAACGTCCGACATCTCTGGGAACTGTCCTGCAGCAGTCTGAAACGACTCAGCACGCAAAAAGGGGTACCTCTTGATCGCAGCTGCTGGTGCTACTGCCTCCTGGTCAAGAGGCCCCACGATCTCCACGAGACGATGACCTGAATTGAGACGGCAGAAGGGGCACCTTCTGACCTAGGCGTCCAAGTTGCATGCTGTTCCTGGGCAGATCAATGACGGCCTCGAGAAACTCCATAAGATTCACGCTGAGGATGTGCGGAACATTGTCCGCCAGCACTGTGGTCTCTATGATGCCAAAAGGTCTGGCCTAGGCACAGCGGAAAGAGAATGACATTGATCACGCGCGCGGCTCCACCGACGCCGTGGGCCGCCTTGAGCGGGCGGTCGGCCTGAGGTATCTCGACGTACCTCAACCCGATCTCTGCCAGGGCTCTAGACTCTCGGTTGAGCGCTCCGACTCCCACGAGGTCGCTGCCGGCGCCAGGGTCGACGAGCCCCTGGGCGGCGGACGTGGTGAGGAGAACCGCGCTCGACTCGATCTCCAGCTGTGCCTGCTCCCAAGCTGGAAGGCTGCCCGCGCCCGTCTCCACCGTCGCCACGAACTCGGAGCCGCCGACCTCGCCGACGATGCCTGAGAACATGCACGCGGATGCTCCTCGGCCGTGATCCTTCACAGCTCGGCGATCCTTGGGTCCGTCCTTCTCTGGGCACTCCCGATGCCAGTGGCCCTTCTGCTTGCAGATGCCGTAGCGTGTCACCTTGATCAGCTGCTCCCTCGTGAGTCGTCGTCGATCGAACCCACGACCGCCGCGGCCGCGTCCGCCTCGACCGCCGGCGCCATCCCCGCGACCTCCGCCGCGTCCTGGACGGCCTGCCGGATGTGCCCGAGGAGGTCGAGGCGCCCGGGAGTCAGGCCGAAAATACTCCCGGTCCTGACGAGCAGCACGTTTCAGCTCCTTGTTCTGCTTCCAGGTCCTGGTGTTCTTGGCCTCGAGCGTCGCCAGCACCTCGCCCACCTGATCCTCGGACACGTCGAGATCGTCGAGCTCGGCCAGCAGAGCCTCGATGTCCTCCTCGTCCCAGGCCTCCTCCTCGTCGTCTTCATCGTAGAAAGTCTCCTCGTCCTCTGCCGGGAAGTCGCCAGTACCCTCTGACCGACCCTGCGACCACGGGGGAGGAGGAGAGAGGAGGGGGGACTGAAAACCAGGCAACGCCTCGCTAGCCCCTAGACCCTCAGAAGTCGTCGCGTCAGCCAGCATCGCTCCAGCGCCGCGCCCTGGGAGCAGACGCTCCGTGCCACCGGAGTCCATCTGCTTGAGCGCCCACGAGACGCTCTCGTAATCCAGCTTCCCGAGGGTGAGCGTCCTCAAGTTCTGGAGCCCCTGGGCGGACAGGCACGCGCCTTCCTCCAAGGGCAGGCCCTTCAGCTTGGGCGACATCCATAGATCATGTCCTCCAGCTTCTTGCAAGTGGGCGTCGCGCCGGATGACGAACTGGATCAGCGACTCCTTCGCCTCGCGGTTGGCCTCGAAGAAGGCTCGGCGACCTGCACGGCGAAGGTCATCTCCCTCGCGCTCGCCCGCCATGGTGTCCATGCGTCCGAGCACGATGTCGATCCAGCCGTCGTCGGTCAGACGATGCTCCTGAGTGTCCTCGAACTTCGCCTGGAAAGTCCAGTCGAACAGGCGAAGGAACTTCTCGGAGCGACGCCAGACTGGCACGTCGGTGTTTGCATTCCAGCGTATGAGCGACTTCTTCCATGCTCTGAAATGTGCCCATCCTGGCCATGCAGGTGGGTCTGAGTAGTCTCCCTTGGACCAGGCGCCGCCTCCTCCTGCCCAGCTGCCGAACCAGCTGGCCAGCTCGGGTCGGGACCCGGTCCCGCGGGTCCAGGCGGCGTCGTGAGACCAGCCTGAGTCCTTCTGCCAGCCGTCCTTCGGATCGGGCTGCCGATCCTCCCAGCTGGTCCTCGAGTCGGCCTGCCACCACCGACTCTGCCAACTCTCTCCGCCGCTGGCTGTCCACGGATCCGAGCTCTGCCACGGATCCTCACCCTTCTCGTCTGGCTTGCCAGCGGCTGCGGAGCTGGACGCTGCCGCAGCACTCGAGCTCCTGGACTGCTCCTGCATCGCCGCCCTGACGATGTCCCCGATGAGTCCTCTGAGCTCGCCCCTAGTCACTGCGTCCTCGTCCGTCCCCGCACTCGCGTGTAGGTTGGCCCCCTTCTCTGTAGCTTCTTCCTCGACGCCCGTCATGGCGTTCACCGTGGATCTCCACGCGTCGCAGTCGGCCGAGCGCAGCGACCGCTCGGGAGCACGCGAACGCCGGCCGGTCACGCCTCTCGGGCGTGGACCTGGCTCGCGCCCATGGCACCCCGAGCGACTCCGCGTTCCGCTACCAACTGTGGCAGCACAGGATTGGATGAACGCTTTTGGGCTTGAGCCACAGAGGGTAACAGTACACCGAGCACACTCTGCAACTCGGTAGGACTACCAAGGTAAAGATCTCAAATGCTAAACCTAATACGTAAATTCTGGAGATCAGTCACAGCCGGCCCTGCATCTGCAGACAGGGCCCGCGCCTTCTGAGAAGTGGGGGTGCTTCTATAGAAGAAGAAGAAGAAGAATAAGACTAATAATAGTAATAATAATAATAATAACAACATCAACATAAACTGTTGGCGCTCCGCGCAAGCTTCTTCTTGGATTCGCGCCGCGCGCCAGGGGCGGCGCCGGAGGCGCCGCCAGGGGTGCGCAGGCGCGGATCCGAGAAATCCGCGCGGAGCGCCAACAATTTATGTTGATGTGTTGTTGTTCTTCGACTCTAGACTCTAAGATGCCGTCCCCCTTCCCCTCCCCCCCTCTGTGCCTGGCCGACCGTCCCTGCGGCCAGCTTCGCATCAAGGGGAACAGACAGGTCTTCAGGTGACCAGAACTGCTGGAGCTCAACGCCGCCTCCATGACGTTTTACTGCGCAAGATCTCTGGGCGCCCGACGGGCATTCCGGCTGACTCTCGGAACAAACCCAGGGCCAGAAGCGGCCCCTTAGGATGAGTATGGCATCCCCGGAGCGGCCTCGACGAGGCGCAGCGGATGGAAGACACCACGGGGCCCGAAGAGTGCATCAGACGCATGCCCAACAATCTGCACGAGAAAGCCCAAGCACGAGCGAAGAGCGGTAACAAACATGTGGAGCTTCAGGAACCGGTCGAGCGCCACAGAGGCTTGCTCGGCGGCGCGCCAAGGGGGAAGAGAGGGGGGAGAGAGGTCTCCTTACGCAAGGCGGCGGGACTTCCCGGGAGCCCTCCAGCCTGCTGAGCAGCCGCTGGTGGCTTCGGAGAAGGCCTAGAAAGATTTTCAGATAGCGTGTCAGGTGGGGCAGTGCCACGCCTCTCCCGATTTCACGGATGAGGAGGAGGAGGAGGAGGAGGAGGAGGAGGAGGAGGAGAAGGAGGAGGAGATGGAGAAGGAGGAGGAGGAGGAAGGAGGAGGAGGGGAAGGGAGGAGGGAGGAAGGGGGGGGAGGGGGAGGTGGAGGAAGGGATGGGGGAGGGGGAGGGGAGGGGGAGGGGGAGGGGGAGGGGGAGGAGGAGGAGGAGGAGGAGGAGGAGGAGGAGGAGAGGAGGAGAAGGAGAAAGAGGAGGGGAGGAGGAGAGAAAGAGGAGGAGGAGGAGAAAGAGGAGGAGGAGGAGGAGGAGAGGAGGAGGAGGAGGAGGAGGAGGAGGGTAGGAGGAGGAGGAGGAGGAGGAAGAGGAGGAGGAGGAGGGGTGGAGGAGGAGGGGGAGGAGGAGCAGGAGGGGAAGGAGGAGGAGGAGGAGGATGAGGAGGAGGAGGAGGAGAAGCAGGAGGAGGAGGAGGAGGAGGAGGAGGAGGAGGAGAGGGAGGAGAGGGAGGAGGGGGAGGAGGGGGAGGAGGAGGAGGACGAGGAGGAGGAAAAGGAGGAAGAGGAGGAGAACTCTGCACTGAACCCACAGTCCTGGGCCATCGCCACGAGGATCGCACCCCCAGGTCGCGCCATGAAGCGCCTGACCCCGGCGGCGCCGCCAACGGCGGCCTCGTAGGTGCGCGGCTCGATGTCGACCTGCAGCGGCGAAGGGGCGGCGAGCCAGGCATCCAGCGTCCATGTTGAAATCGGGCATGCCCCTCTACATGAGGAATATTCATCACAAATAATCAAGAGATAATCTGGGGACGATGTTTCGACTATGTTTGAGCATGTTCGAACATGCTATGATTATCTATACTGTTCCTCCGAAAACCGCCTGTAGGGGACATGCCCGACCCAAGTCTAGGTTCGAGGGTCGAGGTTCGAGGATCGAGCTCCCCGCCCGCTCTAGCCAAGTGCTCACGCGGCTCGCCCGCAGGTGTCGCACGGCAGCAATGCAAGTTCGCGCATCCAACGCATCCTCCTCCTGGAGCCCGTGCTCTTGATTTTCGCGATGACGCCCGTTACTGGCCCTCCCGCTCTACCCCCATCTCCCCTCTGCTCACCTCACGATTCGCGCCAGCGCTGGCTGGGAATAATTCATTCTTAAGAATTCCCAGACGGCGCCGACACGAATCGTGACGTGACGAGCTCCCTTCCTCCCTACCACCCCGTCACAACGCACATTAGCGCCCAGAGGGAGGGGGGAACGGTCGCGTGCTCCCACTGCTCCCCCTCTTTCTCGTGCGTGGTCGCAGAATTGCATTCCCCGTAAGCTTCCCTGAGCTTGAGGTTGCTATGCATGCAAGAGGACAAAGAGTCTTGTTGAACCCCTCACGACCTGGATGCATCACGACGGAAGGCTCTTGGCCATCGGTGGATTCCCGCGGACCCTGGCCAGGCAACACGACCGTCCAAAAACGATTCCGCATGAAAGCGCGGTCCCAAGGAAGTTGTCAAGGCTTTTCGGGGCCCCCGCTGTGAGAAAAAATCCCGACGACAAGAATCTGAACATCGACGAGGGCATCGACGAGGGCGTCGCAGCCTGGCTTCGGGGACTGGCAAGAGGTGCCCCTGGCCCAAGGTGCCCCCAGCTTTGCGCTCAGTTCTGGAGACCCTGGGGCCGTCGGGGCCTCGTGAGGGGTGCTCTGGAGGCCGCGGGGGCCTTCTTAGAAATCCTGGGGGTACCTTGGGCCTGGGGCCCCTTGGGCCTGGGGTGCCGCGCAAGCTGCGTGCGCATGCCATCTCCCACGTCTTGCCCCTCCCACCCATCCCCGTCCATTGCGCCGTTCTCGTCTCTATCTGGCCATGGGTGCCCTAGCGGACCTGGACCCCCCGAGTGACCACATCGGGCGATGCGCAATCAGAAGAGGAAGCTCTGCACAGCGGAAAAAATGGTTGCGGCTGATGGGGAGACCAGAAAGGGTACAGATACAGCTACTCCCCGGACCTCTCCTGGGGTGCGTCCTGACCAGAAGCTCGAGGCGAATCCAGCGGTGGCGACGAGGGCCTCCCTGGAGGCCCCGGAGAGGGAGAATAAGTGAAGGGCAGCGGCATGGGTATCCTTTTGTTCTCCTCCCCTGCGATGAGAGCACGACGATTGGCCCGCGCCCGAGGGGCACTTCTGGCAGCGTCCGATGCCTGGCCTGCGGCCCGCTGAGCACGCGGATCGCGGGCCGCTTCGCCCCCCCGCGGACCGCTTCGCTCCCCGCCCGCTGCGCACCGCCGCTTCGCCCAAAGGGCGCCGCCCCCGCCGACCCCCCCAGGGTCCCCCGGGCGGGATCGGAGCTCGAGGCCTCTCTGGGCGGCTCGGGTCCACTTTTGGTGCCCTCTCTCTCGAGGTCGAGATGTGGCGCCCGGAAGACCCCATGAGGAGGAGAGGAGGAGGAGGAGGAGGAGGAGGAGGAGGAGGAGGAGGAGGAGGAGGAGGAGGAGGAGGAGGAGGAGGAGGAGAAGGGAGGAGGAGGGGGAGAGGAGGCAGAGGAGGGAGAGGGAGGAGGAGGAGGAGGAGGAGGAGGAGGAGAGGCAGAGGAGGAGGAGGAGGAGGAGGAGGAGGAGGAGGAGGAGGAGAGAGCAGAGGAGAGAGAGTGGCGGAGAGAGCGCGGGGGAGAGACAGAGAGAGAAAGAGAAAGAGAGAGAGAGAGAGGGAGAGAGAGAGAGAAGAAGATGGGGGGAGAAGAGAACGGGAGAAAGAGAGAGAGAGAGAGAACGCGAAAGCGAAGGGGTAAGAAGAGAGTCGAGGCCCCTCTCCCACATGCCCCAGCCCCCCTCTTCCATCCACCCTCCCGAGTATCTCACACCCCAATCTGACTCCCGCTGCCGTCCCTGCCACTGGTTTCCCACCTCACACATGCCAGCCCGCCCGCCAAATCGTACCCTCCTCCCTCTGTGAAGCTTGTATGTGAAGCGTAGTGTGTATAGCAAAAGTCGATCAGAGCACAGCACACTGTAACATATGAATAGGTCTCATTGGACTCCAGCTCCTGTACTACTTTAGCCCACAATATAAGACAATACACCATTCATGTTCCAAGGATCGACCAGCGACGAAGTGATAATCACAATGCGTGTGTACCCCTAATCTACGTCGTAATATTGGCAGCAACTGGGGTACACACAGTTCTTTTGAACGCTGCCTGCTGCGATCGCGGCTTCGCTCTCTGGTGCCCAGAGGGGGTATGCCTCTAACTCCAGGCGGCCAGGCGGAAAGGTCAAACGGTGCAGTGTCCAAGTCGGGAGCCCCAACCGAACCCAAAGGAACGGAAGAGGGCCGAATTGAAGAGAGAGGGGCCTCGAGAACCCCGAGGCCCCACGAAGTGATCAACCCTTAGGTCGATCCAGGGTCAGCCAAACAGGCTGACGAACAGTGAAGCCTAGGCCACTCCAAGGCCCTATCCAGACGACAGGGGGCGGCAGGCGGCGGCCTGGGACCAAAAACCCACGGGTGGGGGAAGGCCCCAGGTAAGGCTGGACAGGTCCAGCAGCAGAGAGATTCGACTAGTCGGATCCCGACTCCGTCCCGCCCCCGTCCACCACCCCGCCCCTCCCCTTAGTCGCCGTCTCCTCCAGCCGGAGGGCGGCGGCAACACGAGAGAGCGCAGCGGGGCTGGAGGGGGCGGCCTCCTGGCCGCCAGAACCAGCAGCAGCAGGCCCGAGAGGGATGGGCCGCCGAGTCCTCGGCACTCGTCCTGCTGACAGGACTCTCTCCTTAAGCTTAGCCATACGTGCTTGCTCTTGTACCCGTCGTGCTTTGACCCCGTGCAGCTCGTGACCTAAGTTGCGCATGTGGTGCTTGGGCTTGAGTTTCATGCACTTGACCCCCGACGAAAAGCAATGACGAGCACGAACCGTGGTAGCGACGAACCCCGACTTCGAGTTCTGGAGGATGAGGCCTAACTCTCTCACGTCACCGCCGAAGTTGCGCACGCACGTGTGAAGTATGTCCGCTCCTCTGGGGTCAGGCCCTTGCCACTGCATGGTGAAGTCGTTCATAAGCACGCGTGCCGTGATATCGGGATATCTATTGTACTGGTTAGAGACCACTCGATGCAGGACGACCATAAGGATAGTGGTAGCATGTGCACAGCCAGCCAGAATGCCCTGACGGGCCACATACAGCGAACTAATATTACCATATGCGCGTATGGTACGTGGAGCACGATACGTTTGGAGCACCATCCAGATCAATCTAAGGGGGAATCCTAGTACTCTAGCTTCTCGAAATATCATGCTCCATAATATGGCCTCATAACACTTGTACATGTCCAGGAATACTGTTCTGACGTGCAACTTGCGCGCATGTGCTGATTCAGCTTGCAAGTTCAAGTGGAATGCACAATCCGATGAAGACCGTCCAGCTCCCGTTCCCCAAAAGGCAGGGTGTCTATGAGCTTTTTCCCAGGCCGTGCTGAGATGTCGACGAGCACGGCCCCAGATCCTCAACATTGTGTTGAGGAGAGCAATGAGTCGCGCGCCTCCGCTCGGCTTCGGAAGCATACACAACTCTGTGAACAAAAGGGCCTGCGGCCAGATCAGCCGCTTCTCGCAGGCCATGAACATCTCGGCCATAGCTTGTAGCCCTTCGTCGCACACAAACCGAAAGCGCCGAGGAAGAATGCGCATCTGCCCACGACCTGTGCGACGGGCAAATGACATGATGGTCGCCCGAATCTGGGCCCCCGTGAGCTCTGGCAGGTGCCCCCACTCATCTGCATCAGCAGGCCGAGGAAGAACGCGGCCACAGCTTCCGCCTGTACCCAGTGCGGCTGCAGCAAGGACACGGCCTTCCACTCGGTCCGCCAGTTGTCGGAGGCCCCGAGCACCAGCGCCAAGAATCCGCCCAGCCCTTCGCACCGTGAGAAGCTGCTCGAGAAGAAACTTGCTGACCTACAACGTCAGTTGGCAGCCAAGCAGCAGGCCCCCGTGGCCCCTGTTGCATCGGATGCCAATGCCATGCAGGTCGATGCGGGCGACCAGCTCGCAAGTGAGAACGCTAAATGGAAAGAGGAGCTGGCCCAGGCAGAGTCTATGCTCAAGGCGCTGCCCAAGGAGCCCAGCACAGAGTTTGGCAAGGAGCAGAAGGCACACTTGGGGCGGCATCGCGACGCGTGCAAGTCCAAGCTGCGCGCTGCTCAGCCCTTCGAGTGGAGGGCGCATGATGTGGTCAATCAGAAGAAGCAACTTGAAGAGAAACGTGTTCGTCTGGAAGGGGTGCGCGCTCAGGCTCAGCAGCGTCTCGAGGAGGCAACCAAAGCTGTGGCCGACGCCGACCAAGCGTTGCAGCTCACCCTGGACCAGATCACAGCGAAGGAAGAAGAAATCAAGCAGGTGCTCAAGGAGCAGCCGCTGTCGCCCAAGGAGAAGGATCTCAGCGCCACTACCGAGTCCATGGGCACCTCCGTCGAGGCGCTGGGGACCATGCTCAAGGCTAAAGGCCTCGAGCAGACAGACGCTGACATCTTGGGTGGCAAGCTCCGAGAGTGCATGGACATGCTCAAGCTGGCAGAAAAGAAGCTCAACAAGCCGCCCGAGGCCCCGCCCGAGGCCAATGGTGCGGCTGCTCCTCCTCAGCAGCCTCCTCCTGGTGGTGATGGTGGTCAGCTCTCCGCTGCAGGGGGCTTTGTTTTCACTGGCCAAGAGGACCCTGAGGACCTTAAAAACCTGCTGCAGTCCATGGGAGTACCTGTCCCCGAGGATGAAGAGGAAATTCGTGCAGCAGCCAAGCGGGCAGCTGAGCAGTTCACTCAATTCACGAAGAAGCAGAAGGTATCGGCCTAGACAATTCTGCAGTTTGGCTTGGTTGTTGCTTCACACTACGGTTACCATGACGGGAGCTCACACGATTGAAACTTTCAGCTGCTCGTCACAGCCTCAGCTTCTGGATTATCTTGAATGGTCTAAGGCTCAGGTGATGACGGTGCAGGAGCATCACATTCTCCCAGATAAACTACCTGATGCCCAGGCCAAGGCTTTGCAGCGAGGCTGGCATGGGATCTGGTCCGCCGCCAAGGTCACTGATGCTGGTGGTCGCTCGGCGGGGGTCGCAGTTCTTGCTCGGAAGCATGTGGTCGTCACAGCCGCCCCCAAGACCGAGGACGGCGTCATCGTCCCGTCGAGGCTCATGGCTGCGAAGCTGTCGTGGGGGCCCGCTGGAGGACTCATCATCTACTCTATCTACCTTTACGTCGGTGAAGGTATGTATGTCCACAACGTTGCTCTGCTCAAGCAGTTAGCAGAACATGTGATGCTCATGAGGTCGATGGGCCATGCCAATTGGATGTGTGGCGGCGACTTCAACAACAGCCCCGACGATATCGGCACCGACTGGTTCCACAGTATCGGAGGCTTAGTCGCAGCGTCTCGGGCAACTACGTGCAGGCAGACGCTCCCAGGCACCGTGATCGACGATTTTCTTGTGGGCGCGGCGATGCTGCCGCACATTCGTAGGCCCGAAGTTGTTGAGGCCGCAGATGCCAAGCCTCATTTGCCTGTGACGATGCCCGTTGCCATTCAGGAGTGCCCTGTCATGCTCAGGAAAATCCAGGAGGCGAAGGAGATGCCCACAACTGTCAAGGCAGGATGCTCACGGTTCCCTTGCAACTGGAGTGTCGTCCGTGAGCAGATCGCCCACATCGAGTCAGATGCTGATCTGGGCTCGGCATGGCTGCAGGTGGTCAACACGATCGAGCTGGAGATAGCGGGTCGGCACGACATTGTTGGAGACCACGTCCTGCGATATCTGACACCTTCGAGCGTCGACATGGAGCTCGTCGCGTTCAAGGGGACTCCTGAGGATCGTCGAGAGTCAGGGCACGGCTGTGTATATGCCTGGCGAGTTGCTGCAAGATGGGCCCGACACATTCGTCGAATGTCCGAGTATATGGACACGCTCATTCATTGTATTGGCAATGCTGGTGTCTCTGCTTCAGTCGAGAAGGAGCAGTTCGCTACACTCCATGAACAGCAACTCCGTGAGGCTGCTCGTGTTCTGACCAGACCCTCGCCCGCCGAGAAGGTCGGAGGTTGTCTTGGGATCGCCCCTGTGGTCTCTCCGAGAGCTGCATCGGCTTCTGAGCCGAAGCGTCGGCCCCATGGGGGGGCCAGGTCGGCCATAGGTCGGCTTGGGCGAGAGACTCTCGGGGAGAAGGCCGCTGATGGGGCCGCGTCTCCCAGTCTTGGGCATCGGACCTCCTCGACGGCTGCCACTGCGGACGAAGCGGAAAGGTCAAACGAAGACGAGGGAAGGCATGCGAAGTAACAAGGACAGCACACCCTGCTCCAGCCCGGCGGGCAGGAGAAGAGACGTGACAACTGACAAGACCCAATTGCCGAGCGCAAAGTTGGCCCGACCCAAGAGTGACCACACGTGGTGAACCATGGTGGCACTCGTTCACCTCTGTATTCCCCCCCTCCCCTCACCCGCCGTCTCCGACCCTCTTCGGCTTCCTACACTCTCCATCATCGTATCCCACGTCTAACCCCCCTCCTCCTCATCATCTCATGCCCAGGCCCAACCCCAGACAGGTTCCTACCCGCCCTCATCTCATCCCCGTCCTCCTCCTCCTCTTCCTTTTCCTCCTCCTCCTCCTCCTCCTACTCCTACTCCTTCTCCTCCTGCTCCTCCTCCTACGAAGTCGCCTCGAGGACAAACGCCCGTGGAACAAACGAGAAGTTTCGTCGGAGATAAGGGCCGTTGCCATTCGTTCGGCTACGCGCAAGGAGTGACCCTACAGAAGGGCCCGACCACAAGAAACCTTCCACAAGAAACCCAAGCCTGAGACCCCAGGACGTCCATAAGAAACCCAAAAAACATGGGGCCTGCCCACAGAGCGGAGAAGCCAGAGGAACCCAGGACGCCAGTAGAGCCTGGGGCCCGACCACACGAAACCTCCCACGAGAAACCTTCCACAAGAAACCCAAGCCTGAGAACCCAAGCCTGGGAACGTCACGCCTTCCACAGCAAAACCATCGAAACCCAAGAAACCGGAGCACCTTGAAGGCAAGCAGGGTGTTTCTTGGCATGGGTCTCCACTGTAGGCAAGAGTGACCTTTGGTACGCGGGCGAAGGGGGCGCAAGGCGGCCAAGCCACAACGCGCAAACAGCCGCTATCGCGTCGCGCTCAGGGGAAGGGGGGACCCCGATGAGCCCGCACCGGAGGTCACTCCGGTCAAGGTTCACTCTTACGTTTAGGTCGGGCATGTCCCCCTACAGGCGGATTTTGAGCGAAACATTCAAAATGCGCCAAAAATATTCAGACTAAAAACAACAATTGACAAAACAAATCTTCTCCAAATCATTTTTTGGCAAATTTTGAATATTCCTCCTGTAGACGGACAGGCCCGACTTCATCTTACGTGCAGTCGATTCATTCGGCCAAAAGAGCGCACCTTGACCACAAGGTTGGCATCCTCCATGCCCGGCGCCGTCGGCAGCGCCAGCGACTCCAGGTCGACGGCTGGGAGGGCCTGCGGTGGGGCGTGGACGGCGGGGCTCCGTCATCGGTATGCTCCCTGCACTACCTCTCCCAAGTGCGATTGTGCACGTCGGTCGGAAGAAGTAGGTAAAAACCTGAAGTAGGAAAGCGGATGACGCTGATTGGGTTCAGGCCCTCCCAGTGAACAACGAAGCACAACAAAAGCGTATCGATGGTTGAAACAGGAAGACGCTTGAAGCAGAGAAGTAGATTGGGATCCGGGCATCCAGAACGAACCTGCTTTCAACGACTGGCGTGTATGCTCTCTGCACCGTCTCTCCCCAGTACGATCGTACTTCACAACACTTGTTACGGCGAGCACCTCTTGGTCTAATGGTAGGAACAACTTCCAGGCAAGGGACTCGACGACCCGAACCAGAGTCCAAGTGGCGCAGGACCGTCGTGAGTGGGGTGCCAGTGCCGTCGGTTGCCCCAGTAGGATCACATTCGTGATGGCTGCCACTCCACTTCTGAGGGGCAAAGATAGGGGGGACTGGCGCAGGGGGGGATGCATCGACCTGGGATCGGCGATACATCGCCGATAGATCGGCGATAGGCCTCCGATTGTGGATCCGCACCTTCCCGGGCAGGTTGGGACTATCGGGCCCCTATCGGTGATCAGTGGGCGATTGGGGTTCGATGTGTCCCTATGCCTGTCCCCCCCTATCGTTGCCCCTGAACTCCACTCCCCTACACTCCAGACACCGTCTCTCTCTCTCTCTCCCCTCGTCGTTTTCCTCCTCCCCCTCTCCCCGAAAGTCTCTAGCACGACGGACGAAGCAGAACTCCGAGAACTGCCAGCAGCAGAACACAACGGCAGCCCATGGAGCCATCTGCACAGTCACATGATCGAGCAATTCCACGTAGCCGCTGGCATAGAGTCGACCTAAACCCTCTGGAGGCCGAAAATGACGAAGAACCAGCCGTCGTAACTTGCTCTCAAATATCCTCGCGTGATGGGTTCTCGTTGTTCAGACACAGTCCGGGCGTCCTGCCTTCCCTCCGCCCTTCTTTCCTCCTTCCTTCTCCCCTTCCCTGCCTCTGCGCTCCGCATGTCCATGTCGGCGCACCCCTCGCACGCTTCGCAGTCTCATGGGGAGCTCCACCGAAGGCCCCAGTGGCTGCGTTCCCAAATCTTCTCCAGATCAGGTCGGCGAACCCCTCACACGCTTACCCCATGGAGGGCTCCACCGAATGCTACGCTGTGATCGCAGACCTCGGCACACCCTCACACACTCCGTGGCCCCATACAGAGCTCAACCGAAGGCCCCAGTGGCTGCGTTGGCGGACCTATTCGTGGCCCATTAGGGAGCTCCCGAAGAACCTCACCGAAGGCCCCGTAAGAACCCCCACCGAAGGCCCCAGTGGCAGGATTCGCATGCGTGACCGCGCCAATTTCGGTACGCTCATCACACGCTTCGTGGCCCCATAGGGACCTCTTCCGAAAGCCACGCTGCCTGCTGCCCCCCAAAAATGAGCCGACAAACGGGCAAATCATCCGTAACGGGTTACATCCCGATGTAACCCGTTACGGGTGACCTTTGTGACCCCATCTGCAACGTCGCTCCGTCTAACGCAATAGTCCTTTTGCGAGCCCCTTCCCTTAAGGGTACCTCGTCTTGCGGTATTCACGTCTGGACCCCTTCCCCAGAGCTTGCCGACGTCGCGACTGTCGTGCTGCGACGCCCACGCGTTCAAGGAGGAGGAGAGGAGAAGGAGGAAGAAACAGAGATGGTGCAGTGCCTGCGGGCGGCCCAGGAAAGCACCTGGGAGGTGCCTGCGGGCAGCTCTGGGAAGGCACTTGCGAGGTGCCTGCGTGCGGCCCAGGCGCCCAGGAAAGGCACTTGGGAGGTGCCTGCGAGAACAAAGAAGTCGGAGAAGAAGAAGAAGCAGATGAAGAGCCACATGAGGGCCCGCCGGGCGCCGCCCCCTAGCTCGTCTGCACCGTCGCTGCGGGACGGCCGCCCTCCCAGGTTGCACACATCTCCCAGGGCGTCGCGGGCGACAGCCGGACACCGATATGCAGCTCCGAGGCGTCCACCAGGAGCCGCAGGCGAGCCCGAAGTGCGGACAAACACACCACGACCAGAACCCCAGACTCAATCGCGTGTCTCGGGCCGAATCGATCTGCGAGAGCCCCGGGGGGAGAGCGAAAACCGCCCGGTGTGAAGGAACTGCGACGCTCGAATAGGGGCAGGGGCAGCGGCAACTGGCACGTCGGGGGGGGAAGCAGGATAAGGATGAGGAGAGGGAAGGAGGGACGGAGGGAGGGAGGGAGGGATGAAGTGACGATTCCCCAGGGCTGGCTTCTTCATCCTGATGTTCGTTGCTGGACGGCCGCGGGGCGCGCAACTCGCCCCCCTTGGGCCACAAATAGTAAACATCAAAACCTGCCTCAGCATAGCAATAGCGAGACAATCAGTCAGCATGGGATCGGTAAATGAGGTCGAATCAGTGCGTGCGTCGGAAAGGTTAGCAGCGACAACTTGTCGGATCGGCAGCAGCTGGAAAAGACCTTCAATCCTCGCTTACGATCCTATCGCTCAGTCCTCGATCCTCGAACTGGACCCTGCCCAGACACCCGACGATGTGTTGTGTTCAATGCGCGGCCCGAGAGGTTACGAGCCTCCCGCAGGGGGCAAGTCTTCGTCTCAGAACCACCGTTGTTAGCAAAGACCCCCGATAGCAGGCCATGAACGCCGACACCATTGAAAACTGCGGGGATTGATAAACAAACCTGAGATCTGGCACTCTGACTGAAGGGGAGGAGGCGGCACTGCTAATAATGTATAAAGTAATGGATGCGTTCACTTCCATCCTCGATCGAAGAACCTCGAGCCTCGTAAACCTCGAACCTCGATAACATCGATCCTCCTCACCTATCTCCCTCATCTACGATCCTCAATGCGTGATCGATCGGATCGAAACGGACCCCAGAGGTGAGGGGAACTGTTACGGGGGAAGGGGGGGGAAATGTTAACCTGTCGGTGCTATAGCTCGTTGACGAACTGGCGACAGGCCCCCGATCGCGAATCCTAGCCTTCCTGGGCGGAGTTGACGTCCCTGCCAGTGATCACACCGACCCTGCCTCCCATGACATAAGAACCAATGCTGGCACAACTGTGAGGAGGAGGGACGCCCTGACCAGACCAATGACAAGGAGGCGACCCAGGCATTGGTCAAGGCTTCTCCCAGAGGGCGGATCCCTTAAGCAAGCCCAAGAGACTCCATCCTCTCGGCACTGGCTACAGCCAGCCAGACCTAGGACAGAAGGACAGCCTTCAAGAACACGAGACCCTCCGCCAGACCAAATGAAGGACACTCCAGGGTACCCTCGCCCAAGATGCACAAAAATCCAACAAACACGAAGAACACGAGGGTACCCTTCCCGAACCGACCTCGATCTTTAGAGGCCTCCCAGATGGGGTCCGAGTAGATGGGGTCGGAGGATCGCCCCGCATCGCGAATGCATCGCCGATGCATCGGCGAGGCATTGGCGATCAATCGCCGACGTCGGCGATGCATTGGCGACGTCGACGGGGAGAATATCGGGTTCCACATCGAGCCGCATCGCCGATGCGTCGGCGAGGCGGCGCCATCCTTCGAGCCCATCTGCTCGGATCCCATTTCTTGGCGGTGGACAAACCTCTCTTTACTAAGCCAGCATGTAGTGAAAACGGCCTGGGACCGAAGCCGACGGACCTGGACCCGCACGAACGACGGCCGCGACGCCCACTCGCGAACCGAAAACGGCCAATTCGCTAGTCGACGTGTCACAATAGGAGGTCTGTCAACCCCCGAATTTTGGAGGCCTGGAATCTTATACCTCGGTCCGACTGCGCGGCTTCCCCCGCCCAGGATGCACCAGAATAGCCAACAAACTTGGTCCCGTCGGCGGCGAGGCAAGGAGGCACTCCGCACCCGCGTGGCGCTGATAAATCGGGGCCACCGATGGGCAGATTGTCCGGCGTGCAAGAGAGCAAGGCGAAGGAATTTCCAACAGACACGAGAAGAACACTGGGGCACCCTCCCCAGACCGGCCACGACGACCTGGTACCTCGGTCCGCCTCTACGGCTTCCTTCTCCCCACTGGTCTTGCCCCTGCAGAACCTCCAGCCGGAGTCTTCCGAGCGCCTCTGGCAGAACAGGAACCCCAAGGGAGGGGCTCCAGCTCTCTGGGGGGCCCGCGCCTCGAACCGAACCGGTGCGCCCGACGCCCGCGAGAGCGCACCGGCTTCCCTCGATGCTCGGAGCTCCGCGCGGCGCTCAAAACGTTCCCGGCTGTGCATGCATAGAAGACAAAAAAAAGCCACGGGGCGCTCCGCGCAGATTTCTTTGGATCTGCGCTGGGACCCCCTCCCTGGCGCGCCGAGGGCGCCAGGGGCGGCGCCGGAGGCGCCGCCAGGGGGGCCCACCGCGTTTTTTGTTTCCCCCCCCCTTTTTTTCCGCGCCGCGCGCCTCGGACGGCCGCGCGCCGCGCCGCGCCCAGCCCTCCTCAGTAGTCGCCGAGATCCAGGCCGACCTCCGGGCGCCCGGCCTCCGCCCACGCGGCGCGCAGCGCCGCCCGGCCCGGCCCGCCGAGCGGGTTGAAGGCGAGGTTGAGCTTCTGCAGCCGGGGCAGCGCGCGGCGCCCTCGTCGCCCACGCGGTTGAAGGCGAGGTTGAGCTTCTGCAGCTGGGGCAGCGCGCCCGGGGCGCGCAGGGCCTCCGCCAGCCGCGCGGCGCCCTCGTCGCCCACGCGATTGCTGTGGAGGTCGAGCCACTGCAGCCAGGGCAGCGCGCCCGGGGCTCGCAGGGCCTCCGCCAGCCGCGCGGCGCCCTCGTCGCCCATGAAGGCGAGGTTGAGCTTCTGCAGCTGGGGCAGCGCGCCCGGGGCGCGCAGGGCCTCCGCCAGCCGCGCGGCGCCCTCGTCGCCCACGCGGTTGCGGCCGAGGTCGAGCCTCACCAGCCGGGGCGCGGCGCCCGAGGCGAGCACGGCGGCCAGCTGCTGCGCCTCCTCGTCCCCCCACTGCAGCCCAATGTAGAGCAGATCCTCCGCGGCCTCGAAGCGCTGCGCGAAGGCGGAGCGGTAGAGCTCGGCGACCCGGGGACGGTCGTCCTTGCCGTTGGTGAACCCCTTGCTCTGCAGCTCCACGTCGAAGGCGTCGGGCAGGAAGGGCGCCCGGCGCCCCGCGGCGCAGGTACTCACCAACTCGTAGTAGTAGGTCTCCGCTCCGGTGGATCGGCCGAGGTCCAATACGTCAGCCGGCTTCGTCAGCATCGCCCAGGAGGACTCGCAGAAGCACCAGCCACGGTTGAAGTACTGCTCCGTGTTGCCCGACTGGGTGTACTTTGCAGCATCGCCGTAATCATCTGGAAACCGCGTCAGCATGAAGACGACAGTGGCGGGGTGGGAGTAGAAGCCCCCAGGCTCCCCAATGCCTCCTTGAAGAGCGCATGCTCCAGCTCGAAGCGGCCGAGGGCATCGTCCTCGAAAGAATCTGAGCCTTCGAGCCGCTGGTAGGTGCGCTGATGGGGAACGCCCTCGCGGTCCCTGCAGTTTTGATGGATGCAGCAGAAGTCCATGAATACACACCAGCGGCTGCGCATTTGAACTACATAGTGAAACTGCAGCTGCAGGGCCTGGCCCAAGATGCGCAGGTTGTGCCCGCGTGGATCCGGGTGGTTCGCCTGCAGCCAGCAGTGTGATATGCACGCGATGTGCAGCAACGGCACAAGGTCTAAGGGCGTGGCGGCCTTGACGGCGCTGTGGGGCACGAAGGCCGTCGGCGGCAACGCCTGGCGCGGCTCGAGGACGCCGCCAGTGCGCGCTCGCCTCACCATCCACTCCGCGTCCATCAGGACGACCGCTCCACTGCCGAGCACGGGGTCGAGCTCCAGGCCGCCGTTCCTCTCCCACAGTGCCTGCGCATCCGCTGGCACAGGGACCTCCTCCAGCTCCGGCATGTGCGGGGGCCATTGCGGCTCGGCGGATGCTTGCAGAGGGCGGGGTCGCCAGCGACTTCCAAGTTGCAACCAACTGCGGAAGCTTGAGCCAAAATGGCTACGGACAGGGGGGCCCACCGCGGCTCCAAGAAATGCGCGAGGAGCGCCAACAAGTTTATGGCTTGCTTCTGCTCATGGCGTCGATTTTTCTTCGACTGCAGGGGGTCCGGCCCGCCTGCGGGCGATTGCCCCTGACACAGGCGCCCCGGGGGACGGTGGAAACACTCCCACCGCCGAGCTCAGAGAAAAGGTGCCGCCCAGCCTGCTGAGGAGGAGGAGAAGAGAAGAGAAGAGAAGAGAAGAGAAGAGAAGAGAAGAGAAGAGAAGAGAAGAGAAGAGAAGAGAAGAGAAGAGAAGAGAAAGGAACAGGACCTTGCCCCTTCAGGGGGCCAGGCCGGCGCCTCCGCCGCAGCTGGCGCTCCCGCGGCAGACGCCGTCCCCGCCGCGGCCGGAGGCGGCGCGGCAGCACCGGCGGCCGCCGGGGCCGCGGCCGCCGGCGCCTGGCGGAGGGTGCGCCCGTCGAGCAGAAGCAGGGAAGAGCGGCCCCACTATCAGGTCGGGCATGTCCCCCCTACAGGGCGACTGTGGACGGAAAATCAAAAATAGTCCAAAGATACCCCAGCATAGTCGGAAAACAAACATTAAAAGCCGTTCCCCGACCATTTTTAAACTGTATGGAGACACGCCTGACTTAACACCACCACTAGCGAGGGGAGCCAGGAGTGGTCAACTCGGCGGCGTGGTCTCCCTCCCTCGTGCCCGAGGAATATCAGATCCCCAGCTCGGGGAGGCGTATGCGTGCACGAAGGGGAGCGGCCTCCGATCTCCGCTCCCCAGACCTCCCCGATGACCAGACCTCTCCAGGCATCCCCGGTTTCCCCAGACGTCCCCGATCCCCAGACCTCTCCCGACATCTCCTCCAGGCATCCCCAGACATGCCCGACTTGCCCAGACGGCCCCGATCCCCAGACCTCTCCTGGCATCTCCAGGCATCCCCAGGCATCCCCGATTTCCCCAGACGGCCCCGATCCCCAGACCTCTCCCGACATCTCCAGGCATCCCCAGGCATCCCCGATTTCCCCAGACGTCCCCGATCCCCAGACCTCTCCCGACATCTCCAGGCATCCCCAGGCATCCCCAGACGTCCCCGATCCCCAGACCTCTCCCGACATCTCCAGGCATCCCCAGACATCCCCGATTTCCCCGGACGTCCCCGATCCCCAGACCTTTCCAGACATCTCCAGGCATCCCCAGACATCCCCGATTTCCCCAGACTGCCCCGATCCCCGGACCTCTCCAGAAATCTCCAGGCATCCCCAGAATCCACAGACCTCCCCGATCCCCAGACCTCTCCAGTCATCTCCAGGCATCCCCAGACATCCCCGATTTCCCCAGGCGTCCCTGATCCCCAGACCTCCAGACATCGCAAGACATCACCGATTTCTCGAGACTTCCCGATCCCCGGACCTCTCCAGACATCTCCAGGCATCCCCAGGCATCCCCGATTTCCCCAGACGTCCCCGATCCCCAGACCGCTTCGTAAACGTCAATTGTCGTGGAACAGAACAGAACAGAACAGAAGCCTTGCGCCGGCCACAGCGCGTGAGCAATGGGTGAAAATGTGCACGGAAACGGATGCCTTCAGCACGCCGCCCATGCTTTGACCGCCTGCTCCCACCTGCGAGCTGCACCGCCCTCTCGGCGGAAGTAATCAGCAAGTCGTTCATGGGAGCCGGCAACATTCAAGCAGTTCTTCAGCACCATGGGCCCCCAAGACTGTCTCGGGCGGCCTCTTCTCCTTTTCCCAAGAAGGCTCTTGAGAACCAGACCGCCCGGCTCAAACACCGAGCTTCTGACTGGATCTTCGTCTGGTCTTCTCGCCAAATGGCCCATGTACAACATCTGTCTACGCGCAAGACTATGGCTCAGAGGCGTCTGTTGGCTGATCTGCAGAACTGCACGGTTCGACACCCGACTGATGTACGACGGAGAGACTCTGCAAATACGTCTGAGACAATAATTCTGGAACCCGTCGAGCCGTCTTCGCTCGGCCTGGTTAAGACACGCAGTGAATAATACATACGTGAGTTTGGAAACAACGCAAGCATTAAATATACGTAGTTTCTGTCTCCTACTCAAAGTCGAATGCGACCATATTCTTGCAAGCACCTTGAAGTCACTTCTGGCCGCCCCAATTCTCCGACTCAGTTCTGTGCCTATGCGCCCGTCCGAAGCAAGAGACGTCCCGAGATAAGTTAATGATTGCTTGGCTGGGATGGGGACCTCGTTGCGTCCCAAAATATCAGCTTCGGTCCTTACTTTCATAAGTTCCAACTTGCCCCAATTGAACTGCAGCCCGCACTGGCCCCCGCACTCCTCAATGCAGCGCATCAGCTCTTGAACGAGGGCTGGGTCGGAGTCTATGAGCAACGTGTCGTCCGCGTACACGAGCTCCCTCGCAAACTGGTTTTCAGGTATCGGAGTCTATGAGCAACGTGTCGTCCGCGTACACTGGCTCCCACGTCAATTGTCGTGGAAGGGACAATTTTTCCTCCCTTGACGTTCTTCCTCTGATGACCGACGACGACGACGACCCCCAGCTATAAATCGGGCATGTCCTCCTAGACGCGGAATTTTGACGAAAACATCGCCGGGCCAACGGGCCAGAGGCGTGCTAAGATCTCCAGTAACAAGTTAACAATCACAAAATCGCGCGCGCGAGGCGGCCCCTGGGGGCCCCGACGCGACAAATACCTCACCAAAGTCCCAGCAAGTCCCCGGCAAGGCCCCGGCAAGTGCCCGTCAGAGATGCCGGAGGCCCCCCAGACGGCCCAAAAGGCGCCCAAGACGGCCTCAAGAGAGCGCACAGACGGTCCAAGAGCCATTGGAGTCCTCGAAAGATCGGCCGACGATGCCCAAGGAGACGGTCCAAGGGGCCCCGAGTCGCCGAAAGATTGCTCCAAGACGCCCATGATGGTCATCAGACGGCCCTAGGCGCCGCCGAGAAGCTCCAAGAGAGCCTCAAGAGGCCCTCCAAGAGGGTCCCAACAAGCAGAAATCGCCCCATGTCCTTATGGGAAAATGTACATTGCTGGCATAGACGACGCTCGGAGGTTCACAGCGTCCAAGACTCCCCAAGAACCCCCCAACATCGCCCCAGGATGGCCCAACATGCCCAAAAGATGCGCCCAAGAGGGCCCAAGAGGGCTCCAAGACTGCCCAAGATGGCCCCAGCACAACTCAAGAGGCGCCCAAGACGGCCCAAGAAAGCCCCAAAACAGCCCCAAGAGGGGCTCAAGACGGGAACCAGCAACCGAAAAGTCCAGCCTTCAGCCCGAAGAGGCCCCCAGGAGGCCCCCAAGAGGCCCAAACACGGCCCCCAAGAAGCTTCAAAACTGCCTCCCAAAAGCCCATGAGAGGTCAACCACGAAAGACCAACCAACATCCGTGAGGCCTCTGACCCGCCACCCACCGCCTCCGAAAACTGGCAGCCGCCCAACCGCACCGCATTGACAACAATACCCCGACAACCGACAACGGCGAGGCAATGTGGGCCGGCGGAATGAGCGAAGCGATTAAATAAAGCACGGTTTAAACATGCCCAGACATGTTTGAAACACAGCCGAAAATGGCCCCAAGACTTTTTGTCTACTGTGTTCGAATCTCCCTCCTGTAGAGGGACGCGCCCGACTTCACGCCAGCCGCGACGCTCGACGGCCGACGTCCGCCGACGCCCCCCCCTGGCGGCCTCCGCGGCGGCGGGCGCGGCGTCCGCGGGCGGCGCCGGCGCGGCCGCGGCGGCGCCGGCGGCCTCTTGCAGGGCGGCTGCAGGGAGGGCCCGGTCCCCTCTCCATCCTCAGGTCGGGCAGGTCCCCCTGCAGGGGGAATACGGCAGGTTCGTGTCGTGTCGACCCCAGCGTTGGTTCCTGACACCGCGCTGGATCGTTCAACCTTGAACGATCGGCCGTCTCCGCAACGTCCGATCGTTCAACATCGATCGACTCTGGGCCGCCGCCGGCGTTCAACCTTGAACGCCCACGCTGGGGTCGCCGCTGGTCGACACGACGCAAACCTACCGTACCATCTCTTTTGTGTCAGCCCTGGATGCGAAGCGTCGGCTATTTTGGGCCACGTGTGTGACGTGTGTTTTGTTATGCTTCGCTTGTCTTCCAGAAGCCACCTGTGTGTGACATGTGTTTTGTTATGCTTCGCTTGTCTTCCAGAAGCCACCTGTAGGAGGGCATGCCCGAGCTGACCTCAGATCCCAGATCTCCTCAATCCCCTGCACGGTCTTACTCGAAGAAGAACTGGATACATGTAAACTTTTGGAGCTCCGCGCGGATTTCTTGGATCCGCGCTGGGCCCCATGGCGGCGACTCCGGCGCCAGGGAGGGGGTCCAGCGCGAATTCAAGAAATCCACGCGGAGCGCCAAAAGTGTATGTGTATGCCGTTCCTGCTTCTTGTACTTACGGAGCGAAGAACGGTATGAAGTAAACTGTCCCGCCGTCGGGGACGCCTGCCCCCCCGTGCGGCTGAAAAGTTTGCGCCCCTACGGAGGGATATAAACTTTCCAACTGCCTGGGGGGCAGGCGTCCTCCACGGCGGGAAAGCTCATGTTATAACCCAGTGCCTCCGCGAGTAATGCCCCAGAGATAAAGTTCGGGGCTCTGGGGGATATTAAACTTATTGTCCTGGCGAGTCGCATGTACGGATGCACGGATAGCACATGGATAGCACCACATAGACAGCAGATAGACAGCATCACGCATATGCTCCACATAGACAGCACCACATAAACAGCAACACGCAGATTCACCACAAAGACAGCACCACATAGACCGCACGTTCCTCATGCGTTCCTGACACAAGTTTCTGACTCGGAAAGGGCTTGAGAGGGTGAGAACATAAAAACTTCGATTCGTAACTGTCCGCAGGAGAGTGAAGTTCGGCCTCGCTGCCC